CACTCTGTTCCCCTGTGGCGTGGAAAAGGGGTCCTAGGCTGTCCATTCGCTCTGCACTGGTCACACGGGCTGCGCTTTAAAAACTTGGCAGCACAACTGCTTGCTGAAGGGATGCGCAAAGTACGCCGGCGCTGAGCGGCCGGTGACATATCGCTGTTTCCTGGAAGGCGATTGGCCAAACAGACTCCTAACATGATGTGGTCAATCTTTCTGATTGTGGTACGTTTGCTAACTCGCGACCAGCTTGGAGGAAGAGGATAACATGCGTCTGGGTGACCCGTTCAACGCCACATGCCTCGAATGGGAGGAGGTGGAGGCAAAAATGTCACATGGTCGGGTGGGAAGGGGAGAGGGGAGGGGGAGGGGACAATGGACCCCCGTCCTTAAGATCTTGAAAAAACTGAGAGGGCTAGAATGCACCGAATTACTTGTATGTGAGCTTACTTGTATACAACTTGAAGGTTGCTGGGGTCATGATCTTCAGGTCAAATGAGGTCAAATAAGGTCAAGCTCCGATTCCGAGTCCAAAGCGTGTCAGACCTCCAAATGCAGCCGCCTGAAACCTAGAATATCTACTATAAGCAAAAGATCACTGGTATTCACTGGTGTCTAGAACTAGACATCCCCTAAGATGTGCATATCATATCGCGCAGACTATTTTAAGGTCATTCAGGCATCCCTGATGTCATAATAACGCAATTCAGATCCTCAAATTCCATTGGCCATGCGGCGGTCCAGACAAAACAAGATTGTCGAGTCGTTCATATCTAACATTCGCGAGCACGACTTCCAGATTGGCCGTCAATTGGATCTCAATCAACGTTGCGCAAGGTACGATGACGCCATCAAGGAATGCCACGCTGAGAAACATTTTGATGAATAGAGAAATTCTGTTCTAAAACAGTATTTTCCATTCTAACGTATACCAAAAGTTACGGTGAGCTTACTTCATCACACCTGATGCTCACTTTCGTATCCGTCTTCAAAGGTGGCATGCTCCGTTTAAAGCGTCTTCTCCCGATCCGCCCACCCGTGGCGGCATGAGTTCGAATCGCTTTAGGCCCTCGCCCTTTGCCGCAGACTGGGGTGGCCCGCAGACGGTGGCAGCGGACCCACTAAAGGTCAGGTGACGTCAGAGAGTAGGACAAGCCGTGCCGAGCATTGCGGCACGTTAAGCTGTCGCCGTAATATTCCACCACTGGCCCGGAATATGACGAACGAACGGCGAGGCCAGGGCGCACGCAAGGGGACGCTCAGCATCGCGCTGATACCAGAATTTCATCCGATCAAAAGGGTCGGCTGCATGTTAAAATGGCTTAAAAGCGCAGAACCTAAGTGATTTACCATGTCACTTGTCATAAGCCTGCGTGGTTACCACATCAAGAGACTAATGATTAATATGAAGCACATGTACCTAGAGCAACGAAGTTGGATCCCATGAGTTATTTACTTTTCTGACCTTGACTTGGCCTTGACCCATGACTGTCAAAACTATGGCAGAATTCTAAAATGCATTCTGTTATTAGCACTACTTTTCAAAGCTTTGCTATCAACATTGTTGATGCTTAAGAGCCACAAAGTCATTTAAAAACTTATGTATGACCAATAGGGTGTCTTCGATCATTTGTGACTCTATCAATCACGTCACAAGCATCAGCTGAAGGGCTACTTTGTGAAATTGACCAGGGCTATCGATAACCGTTATAATTACTCCCACTCCGACAATCAGGCGCTGAGCATCCAGGCGGGGAAAGGATGCCTTTAACGTCCTGGCCTCTCTGGTGACCGTCGCTGGTGGCGGTCTCTGGTGGCGGTCTCTGGCGGCGGTCTCTGGTGGCGGTCTCTGGTGGCGTCTCTGGCGGCGGTCTCTGGCGGTGGTCTCTGGTGGCGGTCTCTGGCGGCGGTCGCTGGCGGCGGCCTCTGGCGGCGGTCTCTGGCGGCGGTCTCTGGCGGCGGTCGCTGGCGGCGTAATCCACAGACGGTATCGGACTAACTCAGCTTTTTATGCTTCGTATTGGCAGAAGTCATGTGACGAGCAGTTTGCTGACTACAACCTATTTCTAGCTAGCTACTGCCCTCGCGCAGTTGAGGGAAAAATGTACAATCGACCTATTCAGATGCATTCTTATGTTATACCCATGGCTTAGATGCATCCTTAGTTGTTTGGTTATCGAGGCAGGGAGTTTTGAAACAGCTTCACACATGTTTTTTATAGGTCTCGATTTACCTTGTGGAAAGTGTTGGTACTTTGCGTGTATGCATCTGACTGAAAACCCTCGCTGTCCATTCCTTACAATCTTGTCTCGATTAGATAGATAGCAGGTGAACAGATAATGAAGTGACAGCTACAACCCTGGAGCCACGATTGCCTAATGTGTGAAATATATCGGAACCTTCAGGAAATGTTGATTGCTATTCACTCCGCTGCACTTCTCCCCACGCTGTCCGAGGACGACTTCAAATTGACTTCAAGAGAACGATTGTTATGGTAATCCATGACGTCATTATGCAATTAAATCGAAAACTAAGTTTTCAATTGAGTGAACTGTGTTTTCTTGCAGTCTTCCGTGAATGGGAATCGGAATTCGGTAAGTCTGCTGCGCCCACATGTTTAATGCATGGTTGACGTGGTCCGCAATTTTCTCCTCGAACCAGCACCTCACCGCTAATGCGCTGTGTACATTATTAAATGGTCTGAACACTGGATGATCAAAGTGCTCGTGAGTCAAGTAGTACACAAATGAGCACCTATGGGGTTTTCAGCCGCCGTTTCGCGGCTTTCAAATTGCGAGAGCGAGAGCGAGAGAGAGAGAGAGAGAGAGAGAGAGAGAGAGAGAGAGAGAGGAGAGAGAGAGAGAGAGAGAGAGAAGAGAGAGAGAGAGAGAAGAGAGAGATAGAGAGAGAAGAGAGGAGAGAGAGAGAGAGAGAGAAGAGAGAGAGAGAGAGAGAGATAGAGGAGAGATAGAGAGAGAGAGAGAGAGAGAGAGAGAGAGAGAGAGAGAGAGAGAGAAGAGAGAGATAGAGAGAGAGAGAGAGAGAGAGAGAGAGAAGAGAGAGAAGAGAGAGAGAGAGAGGAGAGAGAGAGAGAGAGAGAGAGAGAGAGAGAGAAGAGAGAGAGAGAGAGAGAGAGAGAGATAGAGAGAGAGAGAGAGAGAGAGAAAGAGAGAGAGAGAGAGAGAGAAGAGAGAGAGAGAGAGAGAGAGAGAGAGAAGAGAGAGAGAGAGAGAAGAGAGAGGAGAGAGAGAGAAGAGAGAGAGATAGGAGGAGAGAGGAAGAGGAGAGTAGAGAGAGGAAGAAGAGAAGATAGAGAGAGAGAGAAGAGAGAGAGTGAGAGAGAAGAGAGAGAGAGAGAGAGAGAGAGAGAGAGATAGAGAGAGAGAGAGAGAGAGAGAAGAGAGAGAGAGAGAGAGAGAGAGAGAGAGAGAGAGAGGAGAGATAGATAGAGAGAGAGAGAGAGAGAGAAGAAGAAGAGAGAGCGGGAGAGAGAGAGAGAGACGCACGGTGCGCATCAAGAGGTCCACGCACCTCGCGATTTGAGAACCCCGCGGGTAGCGTGTTAATATTCGCACACGCTGACTGGCTCACAATTGTATCCCTCCAGTCTCTCCAGCCTTCTATTGACGTCAGAAAAGGGCCAATAAGCCTGACGTAGTGCTTTACTTGAAACGCAATACCCGTCTGCTCAATGTAGCTTGTCAGATATTTCCGTTATTGTTAGCGTTATTTGGCCCTAGGCTGGCGCAGGCAGGCTCCCCGGCCACCGTTCTTTGGTTCTACTAAGGCTGGCGCCCCACGCCTTCACGGCTGACGCGCATGGGGTCGGGAGGCGGAGCAGCAGGCTGGTTTACGTGTTGCTAACCTCGGAGCGGGAAGCTAGGGGTCTTTTCCCGCCGAGGTAAGCTTCGGCCGAACCGGTGGCTTCCACTAAATAGCGATGCTACTAGATTTGACCGTTGCATGCATCAACAAACAACCAGCCTGATAAACAGCCTGATCTTGACGCCTGATAAACAGCCTCAGACGACGCGCCCGCGGCTGTTCCGCGGCCAACACGCTTCTGTTTCGTGGTTGACGCATACCTTAGCACCTAGTGTGAGTCGCTTCACACGCTCGCTCCACAGATGGCGACGCTGGTGTCACCGCTGTCTGGATTCGTGCCTAGGGCTTAGGTTCTTCATCAGGCGCCAGTGAAGCTCAGTCAAGCGCCTGCCGTGGCACCATCGCACCATGGCTGGCCGTCCTCAGCAACACTCCATGCTAACACCTGGATGATGGAGGCGAAGCGCCAGTTGTAACCCACTGGTGGTTTTGTGTTAGCCACGATGCTCTGCTGTAGTCTTATTTTCACGACATCACCGATTATGATAGCGGATATGTTTCAAGACGTGACATCCGGCTGCGCTTGAAGGGGCAGTGTGCTGTCGCTTAAACCTATCTGTGGACGATGTGGAAAAAATATGCATTTGCTCGCTTGGCCTATGCTATGACATCGCCGTAAAATAGCGGGAATATTTCCCCAATCCTTTAAACCAGCTGTTATTAGTACACCTAATGATTTATTATTGCTCATAAGCTTGGCGTATGAGCTGGTAGCAGCCAGGTGAACATGCCGTGCCGTGTGAGATAGCGGGCATGTGGCAACCACGACCAAACGGGGCTTCCTCCCGCCGTTATTTATTTCAACCCATCTTTCTCCCCGCGCGCCATCGACATTTCTCATCTGCTCATCGTTCCGCGCTGGAAGTAAACCGCAAAAGGCGCTCCAATCGCCGGCGATGTTAACAGGCCTGGTTCCCGAGGCGGCGCGCGCGGCGAGCTGGCAGTCGACCGGCCGGCCGCCGCCCGCCACTAATAAGCCGTACGACTGGGCAGCAGCCGGTTATTAGTTCCGCCCGTCTTCGATCCAAGGCGGCTTCCAGCTCGTAATGACTGAGATCACTCCCCCCCCCCCCCGACCGTCCAGCGGCCGCACGAGGCGCGCCGGCCGCGCCGGGCGCGCGCTACTCCAGCAGCCAGCGCAAGCCGTCGGACGCGACGGGCCAGCGGCGAGATGGCGTCTGCGGCGGCCAGTGAATCAGCCCTGGTTTGGCGGTCCTGTTCGTTGGCTAGTCTCGCACATTATTTTTGTCGGACGACCTCGCTAAACCCGATCTGTGCGACTTAATGATGCAGCCAAGTGCGAGTGAATGGAAAATAATGAAATAGTGATACGGTTCTCAAGCAACTACTTATAAATTTTACGATCAAGGTGCTTCTTCCATGACTGATTTCTGCTCAAATCCTCAGTTTGCCGAAACGCAGCATGTTGCTCAAGCATCAGCTCACAACCAGCAGCCTTGGTCACCTGTGTCCTGTTGATGCCCCAATGAGCACGAAAGGTTTTGATCGTTATGTGCAGTCGCCGCGTATGAGCAGGCCGCGTGGGCTGACTTCACAGCATTAGGTGTTGATATAACTTCTAACTGAACTGGTTTCGCTACGCTTCTGAGGAGCGGTAAATGCTTACGCTTGTCCGTTTTTTCTCCACAGTTGTATTTTTGCGGGGTATATAAATTATAGCTTTATTTTGACGTGAACGTATGAACCAAACGCCGTTGAGGCTCCCTTAAACTCGATAACCAACTAAGGAACGAGACTGTATGTGGTAGGGTAAAGGAGCAGAGGGCTCCTGTTTGCCCAATAATACCAACCTTCTGAACGTTCCCATTTGTGTAATCCACTCTCATTTACTTACTGAAATGCACGGTTGCAAAATATATAGGGTGCATAACGCAACGTGTTCCGTGGTCTACTTTTGCATTACATAGAAGGCGATCAAATAGCATGCACATTATACACCCATACGCTCCTTGTGAACGTGATATGTGATTTCGTGCACAGCTGCAACATATTTTGCGTTGCAGCCAGTAAGTGTGCATAAGGGGACCATCCACCCAGCTCACAATCCCTGAAACGTTGAATTATTTCCATAATTATCATTTCCGGTAGCGGCGGATGATAGTTACAGCGAGGCCTACGGCCGAGCGTGTAAAGCATCAGGTTTTGTTTCGCGTCGTCCGCTTTCGACCCTTCGCGAACGCAGGTTTGCGAAGTCCCAGCCCCATCAGAGCGGACGGCTCAGCTTAACGAGAGGCGCGCCAGTGCCTTGACAGCTACCTGCGTCGATAAAGAACTCCGCACGTGTTGTTGTCTAAACTTGCGATGCGGACATTTATCAGGCATTAAGTTGCCGCGTATCGTGTTTTATGCAAACATCCGTGACAATTTCAAGGTCGGACTGGTTTTCGGACCTGTTCAGTGTCCTTCACTGGAGGCATGCGTGCCTGAAGGTCAGGCGGTTTGAGTAGCGCTCGCCTCTGTCTGTCCCGGCTGCGTGGAAAGCTGCTCCGCGGTGGGTTCGACCGACATCGCAGCCGACTGACAGCCCGCGGCTCGTCGCGCCAAAATAAATAAATTCGAATGCTGTGATGGATGACCGGACATAAAACACATTTCTGAGAAAAGAATATCGCCTGCATCCTGAGTTATCACTCAAGAAGCGTGATTCTATGAATTAGGGTTATCGCCATGCAAAGCAGGATAGCAGCTGCGACCTGAAGGGTGTTACTGACTGAATAAGCGTTTCCACTCGAATTAAACAAATGTGAGCATGCGCACCTGGGCATACTGATACGCACCAGGCAGCCAGAGGTAGCGCAGTGCCACGTTGACCAGAAGGCTGGACACAGCCGGACACAGCCGCTGGACACAGCCGGACGCAGCCGCTGGACATAGCCAGACACAGCATGGGCACAGCCGGACACAGCCGAACACAGCCACTGGCCAGCCGGACACAGCCGGACACAGCCGCTGGCAGCGTGCGCAACATCCGCCCGCAGCGTACCGGAGCCAAATCAGCGGGAGTGCGGTACGTGGCACGTCCCCGTCGGCCGGCCAGGACATGCTGTCGGACCGGCGGGGCCGGCGGCTGACCGAGCCCGGCCCGCGGTGCCGGACGAGTCCCGGCCAGCACGCAGTGCCAGCCGAGCCCGGCCCACGGCGCCAGCGAGCCCCGGCCGGCCGCAGCAGCGCCAGCTGAACCCGGCCCTCAGCAGCGCCGGCCGAGCCCCGGCCGGCCGCGGCGTCGGCCGAGCCCGGCCAGCACGCAGTGCCAGCCAAGCCTCAGCGGCCCGCCGCGCCAGCCGAGCCCCCCCGAGCCCCGGCCGGTCCGCGGCGTCGGCCGAGCCCCGGCCGGCCCGCAGCGCCAGCTGAGCCCCGGCCCGCAGCAGCGTCGGCCGAGCCCGGCGCGACCCGCAGCGCCAGCTGAGCCCCGGCCCGCAGCAGCGTCGGCCCGGCCCCAGCCCGGCCCGCAGCGCCAGCCTCCGGCGACGGCACGTGGTCAGGCTGACCGTCCGCGCCAGTCCGGCTCCGTGAAGAGAGGCACTCCGGGGCGCATGGAATTGGCGATCGCGTTTCGCGGTCGCGCTAGGCGGGCCGTGCAGCAGATATCAAGTTTGCGCGCCATGGCTGTCTAGCTCTGGAGTTAGAGACAAAACTAACATTTTGTGAAAGGGAAGTTGTGAGGCCGTGGTGCATAAGGCATGCAAATGCTCAGCTTCAAAGTTACATTTCAATCCTGAACCGCACGAACGCTTAAATACAACGCAAGCACAACACTGCATTAGCACTCATGCTTGGAAACTTGTCAACACAAGGGTGAGGAGTGTGAACAGAAGTGTGAGAAGCTGGAAGGGTGCATATCCTATTATAACGCTGAAATCGGCTCAAACTTTGCGCAGTTCACTCATCGCTGGGAGCGATGTACATCTACCACTCGGTTGCTTCAGCAGAGCCAGCCTTGTGGGCAGCTTACTTGAGCGTGACGCCGCAACCGCTGATGTGATTTACGCGTTACCGGCGGTCAGCTGAGCTGGCCGCTGGGCAGGCTGGTCCCGCGCTACTGGCGGTCAGCTGAGCTGGCCGCTGGGCAGGCTGGTCCCGCGCTACTGGCGGTCAGCTGAGCTGGCCGCTGGGCAGGCTGGTCCCGCGTTACTGGCGGTCAGCTGAGCTGGCCGCTGGGTAGGCTGGTCCCGCGCTACTGGCGGTCAGCTGAGCTGGCCGCTGGGCAGGCTGGTCCCGCGTTACTGGCGGTCAGCTGAGCTGGCCGCTGGGCTGGCTGGTCCCGCGTTACCGGCGGTCAGCTGAGCTGGCCGCTGGGCTGGCTGGTCCCCGGAGCGACAGCCGCGTGTCGCCGCAAGCGTCCGTCGCAGCTTAAATGGAACTCCTGTTTCGCTCCTGCACGTCACTGGAGCTTCTCTAGCGATACCCAGCGCCCCCTTGCCATGCAATGTATGATTTTCATCGGCTTGACGGCAGTAGCATATTTATCAGACAGCTGGCGTCCGTTTGCATACGTATCATAAACAATGCTTGCCTGGTCAGGTAGCTTACCGCGTAGGTGAACATGTCATTCCCGTTTCATAATGAATGTTTGCGTCCAGTAAACCCAAAAAGTGTCGGTTTAATCACCAAGAGACCCACGTAAACATATGACGAAAATTCGACTGTGTGCATGCAATGCAAGTTGAGCGCACCCGAACTGGAAGGAAAAATCAAATTCCAAAAATGCGCTCTATACATGAAGCTCAAAAGCTGTTCCTGAAATACCTGTG